CCCTATATTTTGAATAGTAATAAGCACAAGGATCATACTTTCTTATCAGAACATTACAGTAGTATCACTGTAACAAAGTGATTTTCTGCATGGTTTGAAAACATGACAGGAAAAAAAACCCAAGTAGCTGACTCCAGATAATTTTAGAGGCTACTAGAGTTAGGCCTTTGTACACTGGGAATAATGTTGCAGAATGCTGGAAAGTTGAAGAAATAGTAAGATGGTGAGAGCAAGGAGATGGCCTTAAAGCAAATGGTAAAAGAATGCTGGAGAACTAGGCATAGAAGATTTGCTTTACTTGAAGATTGTGGACATTCAGGAAAGTAAAAAAAGCCATGCAGAAATAGCATAGATAATGCGTTAAAATTAATGTTTAAGACTGTTGCATTCTTAAAGTTGTTTCTTTTCCCTTGTCATATTCTACCAGCTAATAATCTGGTGCCTATCACATACCCTAGTGCAGTCTTCCTTTTCTTTCTTCTCTTCCTCTAGTTCCTGCAAGTCTTCCCATTCATCGTCACTGTCATGCATATCTCTAGCAGGAAGAGATGATGAGAAAGGACCACAAACACGTGGTTGTGGGGTCGCCATGGTTGTGGAGAGTGTCTCGGAGCTTCCTCCCCGTGAAAGTGAGGTCACAGACGTTGAGCTGATAGTGAGATACTCTTCATCAATAGGGGTTAGAGAGAGAGTTTCAGGCATACATTTTGTGTTCGATAGGTCATCATCACTCTTATTAAATATGTGGCTGGAAAATAAAAAGATTGCAGTGCTGGGGTTTTCCTCCATATGCTCAACTAGGTGGCCACTGAGAAGTCTACTGCTTATACACAACCTTATTTTAATTTTAACTGAAGTAGTAGTTATGGTATTAAATTGCTGTCTAGGTCCTCCAGTGCTACTATAAAAATAAATAAGTAATCAATATTTTGCAAAGCTAGTTAAAAGTTTAAAAAACTTTCAGAATTTGAAAACAGCCTTTGCAAAAGCTTGCACTCTTTTTTTTTTTTTAAGTCATTAATTAGTACTTTGGTTGCTTCTTGAAAAGAATAATCAGACAATTCCTAGACCATTGATTATTTCATCTACCATAAACAACTTCATTAACTTCTCTGGCAAGTGGTATTTGCGTTACAATACTACTACAGTTTTCATATTTGCGTTTTTCTTGAAACAGGAATG